AGTAATAGATCTTAATCCAAAATATTATTTAACATGTAATCAACATAAAAGTTATCAAGTAGCTTTTCCAAAATATACCATAAATTGTTGTTGCATATAGTTACCTCATAGTTATTGAACTCTAGAACTTACTCTTCCCATCTGGCTGAATTTTATATCTGTTAACCAAATAATCAAAAAATGCTCAAAAGAGAAATAACATTGACAAAAATTAAGAGATTATATGAAGGACTAATCATTTTAACAGCTGTTTAATTTTCAGTTCCTTCTATTGGCACCACTGTGTCTATCATTCCATTTTAGGGATCTATTACTTAGATTTCAAGCAGTTTGGGACTTTTTTTTTTTCCTTTAGAGAGATTTTTGCTATAGGGTACATGTACTCACTGGAGAGGAAGAGACAGAGAGACAGAAAGTGAGAAATCAACCCCCAGGGATATGGCCGCGCTGCAATCCCTCCTTCTCCATTCTCCTCTTGGGATTTTGGGCATGCAAGCACACAGTGCGAGTTTGAAGCTGCAGGTCCAGGACTTGAACTGCGGATGACTATGTGGGAGTACAACAATGTAACCATTACACTATCGGCTGGTCCCTGGACTATCATTTTTTCAAGTTTATTTCTTCCGTGAGAAAGAGAGCACTCCAACAGGGTCTTGATGCCACAATTCACCCCCAGCCTCCTCTAGTTCAAGCTCATGAGTACACGAGTACTCAGCATTTTCAGAGAGGTCTCTGGACACAGACCTGGAACCTTTCCATGTGGATCAGTCTCATAGACCATCATTTTTAACACTGTGCCACAGTCTGACACAGACTCTTTTGCTACCCCTAATTTAAACTTACTGGTCCTCCCTATATGAATATCTATCTTCATAATCTGATTATATCCATAAATAGGAAAACAGGTTGATATATTTAAATATTGTATATTGAAAATGTTATTCTGTGAAGTTCTTGATGAATCTAAGACATTCTACAGGGGTTTTCACAAAGTACATGGATAATGAATATTATGAAATAGCTATGCATGGATTTCACTTCTTTTGCCTCAAAATATACTCTTACTTTAATTCCACTTCTCCATGAATTTTTTTAAAGTTCTCTTGTATTGTTTTCATGCCATCAAATGTTCACCCATAAAAAAATGACCGTTCTCAATTTTTTTTGGAGAGGTTTTCGCTATAGGGTGTGTGCGCTTGCCAGAGAGAGACCTAGAGACAGAAAGCGAGAAATCACCCCCCAGGGGGGATGGTCACGCCACAATCCCTTCTCCTCCATTCTCCTCTCAGGATCCTGGGCACACACGCACACGTGCCCGGCGTGAGTTTTAAGCCACCGGGTCCAGGACGCGAACTACCGTTGACTACGTGAGAGTCCAGCGACATAGCCATTACACTAACTGCTGGTTCCCTTTCTCATTATTTTTAATAAAAGTCATTAAATGATTTGAATAGGTAGTATTCTATTGACTATGTTGATGTACATAATTGAAAGATGATTTTTAACTCTGAATTTAAAAGGGACCATGATCCACTCAAAGTCCACCATCTGCAATGTGCTTCCACATACAACCAGAGTGATGCCCTCAGTTTGAGGAGGTCATCGCTCAGCATCATCGGAAGGTCAGTAAGTTGGGCAAAAAGAGTGTCTGCACTCCAGTGCTTGTTCTGAAGCAAATCCCTTCTGACAACAAAGAAAGTATTTGACCTGCATCTTGTATGAAATCAGGCTAACTGCCTGTCCTGTCCTATTTCCTATTTCATAAATTGACTAAAATAAGAATGATTATGTGTTGAGATGAAAAACATCAATAGTTGAATGTTTGAATCTCTCTAATGTTTCTGTCAGTATTTCTTCAACTATTCCTTTGTGTCTTGTTTTGCTTTTTGATGTTTGTTTGTTTTTGCTTTAAGATGCATGCACTTGCCAGACAGAGGGACAGAGACAGAGAGAGAACAAGCGTGTTATGTCCAAGGGGGAATGGCCACATCACAATCTCTTCTACTCCACTCTCCTCACGGGACTTTGGGCACACATGCATACATGTCTGGCATGATTTTTAAGTCACTGGGTAAAAGAGTCAAAGCATGCAACCTAGAGTTATGTGGGAGCCAGAACCCCAACCTCCACTCCACCTGTTGACTCTATATCCTTTTTAAAAAAATTTTTAAAAATGTCTTTCATGAGTGCGTGTGAGACAGAGAGGAATGGAGAGAAAAGGAGGGAGGGAGAGAAAGAGTCCCTTTGACAGAGTCTCCATACAGTGATCTCCCCCCATTTCAGCCAGCTCAGATTATGGGCATGGGCTTGTGCTCAGCGTGCTCAGAGAGGTCTCAGGGCTCCAACTGGAGACATTTTCCACGTGGGTCCAGTTGTGCCATTTCTGTGCCACCTCCTGACCTCTTTGTCAATGGTATTTAAAGAAGCCAAATGATGGATGGACACACACACACACACACACACACAGCTACAATTTCTCAATGCATTTTTATTTTTATTTTATTGCATGTCCTGGCAAACATAAGTGGCCTGCAGATTTGCCTATGGCTCAACAAAGCCCATAACAAGTACCGAAAGACAAGCAACTGAATCTTTAAAAAAAAAAAAAAAAGTATTACATCTATAAGAAAGAATCTTCTGAAAACATTAATAAAGTATATAAAACTTTTGACATTTGCTTAATTTTTGTATAATTATAAAAATAATTAAAAAACACATATTCCTTTAACATTCAACATCCTGCATACTGTATTTTAAGGGACTATCAAGAAAAAACAAAAAAGGTAAATGGATTTAATGAAGAAAATTCTGCTCTCCATTTTTATTTATAACTGCCTCAAGCAAACATGTCTATCTTCAGCTAACTGCATTGCGTTCAGGCCACAGAACCCCATTAAGCCCACGCCTAGTTGTCTATCCTTAATATTCTTTCTCCCCTTATCCTGGTTACTCATATGCTCCAGGAGTCTAAGTTGCCACTAGGATGTGACCAGTAATTGTGCCTAGCTTTGGCTAATGCCAAAACCGTGAGATACAGTACAGGAATTTCTGAGTCCCTAGTGCCACCTGAATAGTGCTGAAACAGTTCAGAAGTCCTAGGTTTATCCAAACACTAAGGACAGCAGAGGAAGCCATTTGTCCTCTTAACATTGCCAAGGTACAGCGTACATTGCTTCCCCTTCCTGGGTTCGCAAAGCTGTGTGCTTGTTCCAGAAATTAACAGTGCTTACTACCATTTAAGCACAATAAGACTTTGAAATCAAGGACTCACTTTCTTTAACATACAAAATTAAAAATAATAATAATAAAAAAGCAACTTCCCCATCTTATAATTCTGGCATTATTTCTTATTTGAAATTGTAGTCTTACTAAATGGTATTCTCATGAAAATATAAAAACAATTAAAAAAAAAAAGTTTCCACTGTGTTTCTGGAAAACCCACTATCCCAAGAAGAAAACAAAATAATCAAAATACAAAGTATGCAATTTCAAACATGAAATATATATATACACTTTTCTGATGAGATTCGTACACTACAGGTAGGGCTGCATTAGCCCCTTTGCACTTTAACATAACATTGGAAGCTTATGTGCAAGGACAGTCCGTTACCAGAATATATGGGAAAGTTTCAGAGCTCATTAGCATATATACAAAGTACTTTATGTTGAAAAAAAAAAGAATGTTAGAAAGTATGTTTCAGAAAGCTCTAAGGGGAATATTGTCATTTACATGTTTTCCCCAAATTTGAAAACAAACTGTGTCTTAAGCAACAGCTTTCTAGGAAAGTCTTGTCCCTTGATCAGTGGAGACATTTTCCCATCTATGCACGGTCCTTAAGATGGACGGGAGATTGTGTCCTCAAAGTTACTTTACAACAAACTGAAACTCGGACTGTTAGAAAAGAAAAAAATGATTTAGTGATGCAACTGATGCCACAGGAACACTGGTCTGCTAATGTTCTATTTTCCAAATCTCTATATCTATTTTAAACCTTGAAGAGAGAAAGGTAAAAAGCCTCTACATGCAGCATTTTATAGGATAGTAAAGTCTTTAAAAGAAACACTTATCAAATAATAATATCCATGCTCTGAAAGATCTTTCAACAACTTCAATTCATGGTACATTGACATCTTCTGCCACTTAGTAGATACTCAGTATTTCTGAGCATCTCCTGTGTTTCCTAAATATTTTTAATAGGCATTGCAAGGTAGAACATATTAATTTTAACTGAATCAACCTGAATTCTAGCAAGAATAGCAAATGCATATTTGAACTGTCCTGTCTAGTAGTTAAATTTATTTTAAGGCTTCTATAATGGCAGCAAATGTGTTCTCAATAAGTACTAAGAGATAAGTCTACCTGGTATTAGTTGGAGGGGCTTACTGATATACCCAGATACATGATATGTTTTGAACTGACCACCTTGGATGTTTTATGAATTGTAGATGTGGCCCACATTCAAGAGAGGTTATGTCCTTTCCTTTTGTGTGTGATAATATGAACATGAACTTTTTCTTGGAATTGGACTAATTAACCCCTGAGTGAACCAGCATCACGCGAAGAGATGTTAGTGACAAACACACCGACAGAGAATCGTGTACATATGTACATCTCGCCCACAGAATAAATGATGATAAACATAACTGGATCTATTCAACGGTCTGATGTGCGATGTGTTTGGCATCCAAGGCACCAAAAGGACCTACAATGATTGTCATTTACATATACCGTCAAGCTCTAGGTAACTCTCACCACACATGATACCCCTAGACAGAAGGGGTGGGGTGAGTCATCCATAACAAATAATTATAAGAGTCAATAAGTGCAATTCAATTTCCTTTCCTTTAAATTACAATTAAACAATACTGAATGCCCCCACCCAAATATATATATATATATATATCATGTATTTATATATTTATATATGTATATATATATATGTGTGTATATATATATATATAGTCTTAGACTATAAGGGCACAGATGCTTTATAAAAGTCTATGAGAAATCTCTGCAGCTTAAGGAGACACCCACTGCTTTTTTACTTATATATATATTTTTTGCTATCTTCTCCCTAGCCATGAAAACTTCAGACTGGCAAGCAATAGTGTTGAAGGCTTAAAGCCAGAATCAGAATCAGATGCTGGGTCAAATGTTAGGTAAGAGGCTGCCTCTTACTTCTCCTTCCTTAAGAAGTCAGACTGAGAAAAGGAAGGGGAGCAACTAGGGAGACTGCTTTGGAGCTCAAGCCAGAAAGCTTTGCAGCAGGGTAGGCAGGCAGGAGGTGGGCAGAGGGGAGGCAGAGCCTGCATGGTGAGGCTCACTCCCCTTCCTCTTTGATGCGCTGCTGTTTGTTGCGACGAGCATCCATGTCAAAGTTGAAGTCGTTCCACTCATCACGGGGTGGGAAGGAGATGGTCTGGCGGAGTGTGAACCGCACAGCATCAATAACACGCTCCCCCCGGGTCTCGCTGGAGCCCACGCTGACTGTAGAGGCACCACTTGGGGTTCGCAGAAGATGAGGAGGTGAGGAGAATTCATGGAGCTGCCGGTGGTCCAGGATGCCCTTCCAGATGGCATGTCGAAATTGCTCAGGGATTTTTAGACTTGCCAAATCCTGTACAATAGGAAAGAGAACCAAGGAGAATTAGAGCCAAGAGACAAATGACACCAATTCCTTATTACTTTATCATTCCCCAGTGATCCAGATGACGTGATCTGAATTAATTGATCCTAAATGGAATAATAAAATGAGCTCTTCATTAGTCTTTAGCATGAAGACCCCACAGGCACAGCCTTTAAGGTGTCATCTCTGCTTGTGGATAACACTTCACTTAATCTCTGTTGGCCTCAGTTTCTTCCCTGGTAAAATTGGCAGAGTTAGAGGCCAAAAATCTCAAACAAAAACCTAAGATACTTTCTGTCTCTTAAATTCATTTGGCTTTAGTCACTATAAGAAAGGAATTAATGGGATGCCACCACCACTAGGGCGAGGAGATAAGAAAAGAATACGAGCAAGGATTGGGCACATCCTACATGCCAAGCAGTGAGCTGGCTATACTCACGATCTCATTTACTGCTCAGATTGGTGGTAGCTATTATTACACCCGTTTCATAGATTAGAAAACTGAAAGTCAGAGAACTTGACCAATCCTGAGTCATACAACTAAACTGGGGTGCATACATTGGGCACTCAGGATACAACAATCCAAGCCAAAACCTCCTTAATGGCCAGAAAGTTTCTCAGCATTTGAGTAAATCAGGGTATCAAAATGCATTGTAGTTGTGTGCATGTTCTGTGAATGGGACAAGAAGGCATGACAAATGGGGTGGTGGCCTCTCATATTCACCTGCACTAACTCTTCAGTGGCTCATTTCAATCAGAGCTCCCAGTCTTCAATGGAAGAGCACAGCACAGAGGAAGCACGTGCTTGGAGTCAGAGAACAATGGCCGAGGTTCTTTATTCTGTCGTTGCCTGGCTATAGATCTTTAGCAACTGATAAAATGGCCCACAACTGCCTGCTATTTGGGTCGCTATATATTTAGGACTCCTAAATAAAGTATCTATGCAAGTATAAAGCATGAAACGCATTATATAAATGTTGGCCATTTATATTGTTATATTACTAATGTACCTTTCATCTTACAGCGGATACTAATAAAATTAGTATTCTTAAAATTCATCACTTTCCTCTTCCAGGAAGAGATGACGAGTAACTTACACTAGTGCTGGAGATAAGCTGAGATAGAGATGTTTACTTCCAGAAATGAGCAGAAAAGGCTGAAGTGAGCATGAGAAAACTGTATTGCTTCCCAACATTTCCCAGTTTGAAAAATTGCACTATGGTGTCAAATTTTCCCCATGGTGTGAGTTTTCAGGCCATTAAAGATACTTTAATTTCCTATAATAGCAAACTATATTATACAATGATAATTCACAAACAGATAAGTGAGTTTAGCTCTCTCTGTTTCTTGGACTCTTTATACTTCTGTGACTCTCAATCAGTCCAAAGCTTTTTGCAAACTAGGCTCCCTTAATCTTCATGACACTGGCTAGATGTTAACTGATGACTTACGGGTGAGAACACCGTGACCCAGCAGATAGCACAAGATCTGGTCAACGCCAGTTGAGAGGAGCTTATAGAGAATATCTGTAGGTCCTAATAGCCAAGGGAACATCCCGACACACGCCCCAGTGAAGACAAGTGAGCGAGTGGAAAGTATGAGCTTAAAAACACAAGTAAGGGTCCAATTGTTGGTTAGATGATGTAGGACTCCACTATGAGAGGCTCCCTCAAACTTAGGACAACTCTATTCCCTTCAGTGGATAGAAGTGATCATAAAATCATATAACTCCTGTCAGAACTTACTCTTCAAACTTTATTTATAGTTTTCACTTATAATTAGTTCCTCCAGGGAACATCAGCCAGGGTGACATAGGGGATGGAAGGGGAACACAGCATACACTCGTCACCACAGGGCTGGGTGTTCTCATGTTGAAGGGGCAGCTCTTGTATTCGGTGCTCAAGGAGGGAAAAGAGAGGTTCCAGCTAAGAGGCAGCAGCAGATGCAGAGACTATGCACATCCAATCACCCAAAGTGCCTTCTGGAAGCTTTAAGAGAGGATAGTGAACCCCAAAGAGAGCAGCAGGAAGAGCAGCCTGGAAAATCAGATTGCTGTTAGCCAGAGCAACACTAGCTCCCATGTGAGCCACGATTCAAGAAGTAGAGTATGAAGTAAGAAAAAGACCCCTCCACCCAGCTTGTTTTAAAAGACAAAGAAAATCAAAGCCAGAAATGAGTGATTTTGAAGCAACAGGATTAACTGAGGCCTAAAGAGACAAAATGATACTCCAAGTTCTCACTGCTATCAATAAGCCTGGCTGAGACTTGAACCCATGGCCAGAGATTATTCTCGACAATCAGAAATGACTGGGCCTGACTCTGATAGAGTCAAAGGTAAGTGAAGGAATGTATAATTGTAATTGGGAGGAACAGCCAGACCTCCTTAATTTCCCACTGTAAGGAGAGACAAAAAGAATAGTTGCTAAGCTATAGACTAGAAGCTTACACCCTTGGGTTCTATTTTTGGTTCTATGATAAACTCATCAAGCCAAATGACTATTTTGTCATCTCTCCATGTTTTTAAATGAGAATATCACCACCAACTTCCTGTCATTCTCTCTGGGGACTTACATAGATTAATGAGAACAACCAAGAATTTATCTGAACTCTTTAGAGATTATGAATTTCTTGATAGTGGAAATTGTATTTTCTTTCTTTTACACTGAATATTACATGGGTATAACAGATAATTGCTGACTGATCAGACAAGTTGAGGAAGAGTGATTGCTAAGCTCCTAATATGTAGAGATTGAGGTCTGGGAGTCTCTCTAACATGGTTATGGGTCCCATCAAAATTGAGTTTTGGGGACATGACAAAAGCAAATTTTATAACTAGTGAGGGTTGAACTACATGGCAGGTGTCACCAGACGAAGAAATAAAACTCAAGAGAAAAGTCTAACAGTTACTTACATCCATGGAGTAATGCTCAATCTGATAGATGGTGGTCAGCCCTTGGGTCGTGAAATAGTCCAGACATGATGAACAGCCCAACCTTGCTAAGAAACTGCAGAGGGAGGAGGGAAGAGGAAGGATGAAACAGAAATAGAAAGTTCACCCCAACTGCATTGGCGAGATAAAGGAAAACCCAACATCTTGCCCTTGATTGTTCTGCATTAGAAGAGACTCGGAGCAGATAAAATATATGTGGACCTTGGACTAGAGGTGTGGAAATTATTAGTGACTTGATCTTTAGGTCTATAGAAATTAAAATGAACTAGAGAGATTCCAGCAGATCAGCAATTTTCAAATGGTGATCTGTGGAATTCTAGGGTTTTGTGCAAATTAGGAGCTGTTGCAGGGGGTGAAAGTAAAGAGTCCAGGGGTTAGATCCTCAGCCCTCTTTCCTGCTGGTTCTTCTCTGCAAAAAGAGCATCTCTATTTCAATTAATTTGTATAAGATTTGGCTCATGGAAATTTAATCAGATGGTTAAAGATGTTAGCAGTTTAGGACTTGCTGGCATAAATGAGTGAACAAATTTAATCTAAAACTATTGTGCATGTTTCTTTTCTTAACCCCAATTCATTCCTTATGTGTAGGCCTCAATCTTTGCAGTATTTGGGTTACTGATTCAGCAGAAGCAAGAAGAACCAATCACTCTGTAGTAATCAGAATGTTACAAATGTTTCTGAGAAACACCAAAACATTTCTTGATAGTGGTTAAAAAGAAAGGTGTAGGTCACTGCTCTGTGAAGTCATTGCTGCTTTTAATTCATGCCCTCCCCGCGTTGCCACTCTGTAATTGACCCTGCATGGGGAGCAGCATGAATCATTCCAGGAGCCAAATGAAGGAACCATTGTGCATAGGAAGCAGACAGGAGATGTGCATGAGGCATGAGATTTGGGAACCTACTCTTGACTCTGTGGAGAACATATCTTTGAGGCTTCCTGCATTTCTTTCTTCTACCTATCTGAGCTCTCCTGGCCTAGAGTGTACCTATTTCCCATGTGCAGAGCAGTACAGATCATCAGGTTAATGACCATCCCTGTCATTTTTGCTAACAATATTTTTTTAATGCACTTCCAACTCCAAAATAATGGTCCATTGTGACTGAGAGCTATGAGGCCTAGAGAACAGGAAAGGGAGCAAGATAGCAAGCTTACTGCCCTTTTGGAAAACCCAGCCCTGAGCACCAATTCGAGGGGCACAACTGAGACTGTAAATTGGGATGGAGGAGGAGGGGAGTAAGTGAAGACGGAGAAAACAGGCATGAAAACTGTATGCCTATAAACACACATTTTCACTTTATCCCATGCTGATTATAGTGGTTGCTTTGATTAAACAATGCTGACCACTCCAACAATCAGATAAAGCAGTCTGAACGTCACCGTAGAGCTGCTTTCTTTCTTTCCTACTGTTGTACGAACTTTGACAACTTCCACCCTCCACCACTCAGAGGCACTTAGGATGGCCCCCAGAAGCATATACTTGGACTCACCTGACAATGCTGCAATCTGTGGGGTACGGAGGTGGAGGGGTGCAGTGGGAGGTGGGTGGCAGGGAAAGTGAGGGGGGAAGGGCCTGGGTGGGGCTGAGTCCGTTCACATCTCCAGCCATTGGCATGTGTGTGCCCATCATAGGAACTGAACAGAAAACAGGGGGAAAAGAGAAGGTTACTGCCATCTTCAGGAATCAGTATCCCCGTGGTCCACCTTGCCTGGTTCAACAACATCAGGGGCCTAAACAGTCAGCCTGCCTTTTCCGTTTTATCTATCACTCTAGCCCTTTGGGCGTCTGCATCTAGTCAGAGTAGTCAAACTAATTACTCACTTCTTGACCTTTGTACTTTCTCCTAGGACAATCTCTTCCCACCTCTTTTACTCCCAATCCTGTGTCCAGTTGCTCATTGCTCCTAATGTTAACATAAAGAGACTTCAGAAAGTGTGTGCAAAAGTGGATTTCGGGTTTATTTTTCTGTAAAAATTTTAAAATCCATGGATAGTTCTTTCATAATACACATTCTCCAAGAACTTTTTGGAAACCCCTGCATAGTCCTCTTTGTATTTGCCTTTATGGATGGTGTTTATCTCTCCCTTACTAATCTCATCAAGCCTGGAGATTAGCTCTTATACATGTGTAGACCCCACATCTCTCACTACAGTGCCTGACCCAGAATAGATGCTCAGTACACTTTGCTGAAGTGCACAAATGACAAGCCTGTGAGTGAGAGCCACCTTCGTGTGGGAACAGAGGACCTGCAGCAACAGTTGTAGGCAACTGCATGCCTGGTAATACCATTGAAGTTCTAACATCTACGGTCCATTTCAGGAGTGGATGCTGAGACACCACCAATGCTGACTGAAATGATATGAAACCATAACTTGCTAACATTCTGATAGGGAAGAAAAGCTTGGTACCTGCAATATTTATGAAACCACTTCTGCCTCTGAGTCAAAGAGCGAGCAAAAAAAAAAAAAAAAAAAAAAAAGAATGTATCTACAAGGAAACAAATGTGATTTGCTTCCACTTGAGTGAACAGTGAACAGCAGTGTGCCAAAGGGGGAAGGCCTCCCTCACTAAGAGCCAACTAACGACCACCACACCTGAGTACACCAAAGAAAAGCTGTGAAGTGTAAAAAGAAGAATGAGGCAAATTTTGAGCCGTAGAAACATGAGGCATCATCACTATCACTATTTGGTCATCCCAAGAAACAAGTTGAGGACTCTAAGAAATCACTGAAAGAAAGCAAAGTGAAAAACGAACGGTTCCTATTACTTTTACTGTCAAAGTAGCAGACCTGTCAAGAAGTTAGGTTTTGTGCCTTCAGATGCACTGAACACGAGTGAGAGAGCAGCCTGGCTGTAAAATAATTATCTAAAATAATTATCGCCAAACTAGACAACCAAACCTCACAGGCCTCTCTCTTCCCACTAAAATAGAACATCTGCCACCAGACCACAGAAGATCTCATTCCTAGCTTCCCTAAATGTCTTTTAGAAAACCCAGTCTTTGGGCCAGCAGGCGGCGTGGTGGTAAAGGGTGCTGGCCCCCGGGAGGGCTGACCATGGTTCAAGTCCCAGACCTGGTGACTTGCTTTCTCACTTTCCTTCTTTCTCTCACTCTGTCCCTCTCTGGTCAAATTATAAGTAAGTAAAGGTAAATAAAATAGTTCTTAAAAAGAAAACTCAGTCTTTACAAGGCAGTACTAAAATGCAAGTTTAAAGACTTATTCAAAATAATTAGGGATTTAAAAAAATAAATAGATTGAGGGTAACTTTGTTTACAGGGCAGGGATTATATAAAACCTATGTGAACTGAGTCTTCTGCATACCTGAGGATATTATACATCCTTCTCAATTTTTACCATCCCTTTTTTTCTTTCAGGTTGGTGCATCCACTTTGCTATATTTAGCTCTAGTGGACAAGATGGCTACATTTATAGCAAAGCTCTCTGCCAGTCACCCATGCGGAGGCCCAATACTCACACTGCCATTTACATTTACATTTAGCTAGTAGGAGGAATCTGTGTGTGGATAATAAAAGGCAGACACTTTAGTGATAGAGCAGATGAGTTGGGGAGTCTAAGACTATAGGGACACAGTCTCAAAAATTTTTAAATGTGCAGAGCTATAATTATATAGATTAAAAATTATTACATAGCTGATTTTGCAATAGAGTCCAGATTACAAACTATTTCTCTGGATTTTACGTCTACCACACCAAACTGTTTCCCACATGTCAGATACATTTCCTTTCGAGGATCTCAAAGGTTGCAGGAGATGGGTCTCCGTGTAGACTGATAAGAAGTGGATTGCTGTTCTTCCCCACCCCCAACAGGGATTCTTACCTCTATTAAGGTAACAGCCTTCTCTATCTCTACTTTGTGTTTCCTAATGAACCTTACACCTCCAGAGAGGTTTGCTGTGAGAAACCTATGTCATCCAACTTCTGTTTGATTTGTTTCACTGAGCTTCTCACTTCACTTGGGAACAAACCCTTCTTCTCCTATCCCAGAAGAGTCTTCTCCTGACCCTAGCCCTGTCCATCCTCCTGCTGCAGCAAATGGGAGGTGCTCTTACTGTTGGCTCCCATGCCATCCGGAATGGTGGTGGGAGTGAGGGCGTTGCGCTGCTGAGGGTTGATGAGCTGGCTCACGGAAGGCAGCTTGTTCATGCTGGTCATTTTGTTCAGAGGCGGGGAGCTGTTTCCGTAGGAAGACTGAGACTGCATCGAGGTCCTAGGAACACAAACACGGGAACGATAGTGAGCATGGGACACTGCAGAGTGGGGTCTGGTCACTTCCAACAGGTCTCACATTAAAACGTGGTTTTGAACTGTTTAACTGCCAAATATTCTCCAGGATTGGCACTGAGAATTTAATTGCGTTTCCTTCTACCTCAGAATGTTTTCTAACTAGAAAGGTATTACACAAGCTATCACCAAATCATATTCCTCCTGGATGTGCAGACTACAAAGTTTAATATCCACCTCACAGAGGAAAGACACTGAATTGTATCCTCTACGTGCCTCTCTTGTTGCCTCCATTCCCATCCCCTTCCTAGCCTTTCAACTCAAGGAATTTTGAAAACCAGTAAAAAGGAAAAGAACGAAGCAAAGACCCAAAATAAAACCTGGAGATGGTAAGCTCAGGTTGCCACCCAGGGTCCCAATCTGGAGGTGTGCGTTCTCAGGTGAGATGCACATGAGCCATGAAAATCTCAGTGGAATTTCAACAGCCCTTCCATGCCGGAGAACCCTGGAGTCCAAACAACTGTTGTGTTGACTTTCCTGGGATAAAAGGAAAAATAAAACCTAAAAAGACCTCTCCCTGTCTCTCCCATTCCCCCAAACCAGATGAGTGTACAGAAATAGCATATCGAAAGCACTGCTGGAGCTATTACTAGTGTCCACAACTAGGAAAATAAAACTACAGCTGAAAGCTCTGAACTTTTCCTAGACCCTCATTATAGCAAATGCCTTCTTCTACTGTGATTGTTATTTTTGACCATTTTATTAGTTCACTTGTTATTTTTTATCATAAGCCCCTTAATTTGAGGAAGGTCAGCCAGAAACCACAGATAAACGAAAAAGGAATATGGATTCTGGAGTTAACCAAAACATCTGGGCCATCTTCTAGATCTGACACGAACTAATTAAGTGACTTACGATGATACGCAAATATTTTGAGCCTCATTTTCTTAATATGTAGAAGAGACATTATACTCACTCTGAAGAGCTGCTATGCAGATCATATGAAATCTAAGAGCCTTGGATATTGTCAACAAACATTGGTTCCTTTCATTCTTCCCCTGCATCCCCAGATATTTAATTCTCTAGTGTTTGGTCACGGAGATGGAAGGAACTAGTTTTAGAATTAATTTATAGGAAGGATTAGACAGAGGTGACACACATTCTTAATTGAACAAATCCAGAAATTTGAGTAAGCAGAAGAATGGAGAAACAGAGTCTGAACAGGTCAGAAATTCTGAGTGTATTCCCTTTAATGGAAAATTGGATTGTAAGGGGCCAGCAGATGGTATGGTGGTCAAGGCACTGGATTTCCACATAGCTGAGCACAGTTCAAGTCCCAGAACTGGCAGCTTGAAAATCATGCCTGAGTGTGTGTGTTCGGAATCTCAGGATAGTGATGGAGAAGGGAATGGGTGCAGCCATACCCCTCCCTCCCAAGAGGGCGATTGCTCACTTTCCCTCTCTCTGTTTTTCTCTTGCAAGCACATGCTCCCTATGGCAAAATAAAAGTGAATTTTAGAGCATCAAGGACAGAGATTAGGGCTGCTTATTCAGTTTCTAATGTCTGAAACAGAAGGACCATTCTGACATTCTGATGTTCTCTATGCACTGGAAAAAGGGTGCAAGACCAAGAAATCCATGGTCAGTTTAAAAGTCTTGAAGATCTACCATATATATGGTATACACTCAGATTTTATATATATACACACATATTATGTATATATACACATATGTATATATGTGATATATACACACACACACACATATATATATATATATACACACACACACACACACACACACACACACACACACACATATTTTCTCCCTGGAAATATAAGGCCCCAGTCTTTGAGTAAGCAGTCCTAAAGATTCCTGGGGAAACTGAAGAGAAGGAAAAGGTGTTCAAGGACAAGAGGACCTGAGCCACTCTGGTTCTCCTACCTGCCTTCCCATCCCACCACCCTTATCAAAACCCAAGTGAGAGCACAACTCTCCTGAGGAATGACAAGGTGTACGCAAGAGGCTGTTTTCTCTAGAGGCTTCCTAGTTTTTCTCTGACTTCAGAGTAACAGAAATGTCAAAAACCATATCTTATATATTTCTAGTTTTGAGGGGAAATCCTGGTAAAGCAAAGTTCCAGTTCTCTACTCTAAAAACATAAGCTTCTCTTAATGCATTACTAAGAATAACATTCACAATTGCAGAGCGAGAAATGGTTTTAGATGATATAGGATTAGAAATCTGACTTCTTGATTCTAATTCACGACTATCTATGCAGTAGAGTGTCAAAATTCTTGAGAGGACAAAAATTCCAAGTCATCCAAGTGGGGTGAACATCAGCGTTTCTGAGAAGGCCCAGCTACCTTGGTGGAAGTGGGAGGGCACCACTGTGCAGTGGGAGTCTACACAGGAGGGGGCTCATTTCTCAGCTCCAGTGGAGTAAGCCAGGCATGGAGCTGTGCATCTCTGTCTAGGAGGCTGGGGCAGGAGGATTGTGCAATATGACAAGACTGTCAAAAATCCTTGTCTCTCTCTCTCTCCTCCCTTCTTGTTTTGCACTCTTTTGCATTTAAGAGAAAAAAAAATTATGAGAATTCATGAAGTATTTTTTTTCTACCTTGTAAGAGATGCTTAGAATTCTATTGGATTTCCTCTGTTGGCTTAAATCTTGCATTGCTAAGTAAAAAACAACCCTCTAGTAGAATTTGGTGATACTTCAGGCTAAATCTATTTTACCAAACTATTTTTTGAATGCAGAATTTGAGAGCAGAAGGGATATAGGGGGGAAGCAGAACACCTGGTATGAGGAAGGCCACAAAACAGGGAGATGCAGAACATCAGAAAACGAATTGTATATTTTCGCAATGTTGCCCAGGATGGCCCTGCCTGTGTCCTTTCTTTCTACCTAGGTAATCCCGCTTCGGAAGACAAAGGACGCAATTCAAGATAGGTCAGCCATAATATTTTAGTATTTTCTGTCACTTTAAAATATGTGTATTATATAAAAATCCAAGTGGGATGAACATCAGCGTTTCTGAGAAGGCCCAGCTACCTTGGTGGAAGTGGGAGGGCACCACTGTGCAGTGGGAGTCTACACAGGAGGGGGCTCATTTCTCAGCTCCAGTGGAGTAAGCCAGGCATGGAGCTGTGCATCTCTGTCTAGGAGGCTGGGGCAGGAGGATTGTGCAATATGACAAGACTGTCAAAAATCCTTGTCTCTCTCTCTCTCCTCCCTTCTTGTTTTGCACTCTTTTGCATTTAAGAGAAAAAAAAATTCTGAGAATTCATGAAGTATTTTTTTCTACCTTGTAAGAGATGCTTAGAATTCTATTGGATTTCCTCTGTTGGCTTAAATCTTGCATTGCTAAGTAAAAAACAACCCTCTAGTAGAATTTGGTGATACTTCAGGCTAAATCTATTTTACCAAACTATTTTTCGAATGCAGAATTTGAGAGCAGAAGGGATATAGGGGGGAAGCAGAACACCTGGTATGAGGAAGGCCACAAAACAGGGAGATGCAGAACATCAGAAAACGAATTGTATATTTTCGCAATGTTGCCCAGGATGGCCCTGCCTGTGTCCTTTCTTTCTACCTAGGTAATCCCGCTTCGGAAGACAAAGGACGCAATTCAAGATAGGTCAGCCATAATATTTTAGTATTTTCTGTCACTTTAAAATATGTGTATTATATAAAAGTCAATGAAAACTTACATAAAAATAGGCTGAAAGGAGGAAAATAAACCTTCTGAACGAAAAAGCAAATGTTAAAAACCTAAACGTACTTTCCTATTCTTTAAGGAATCTGTGGATCAAAGTTCTTAGACCAACCCAAAAGACTTTGCGAATGTAATAAGAGCACCTGATTTTACTAATATACTTTTACCACAAACGTAAAGACCTTTCGTCTTAAGCATTTTTCTAGGCTACAGATTAATTATTTTTAGCTAGAACAACTTCTTATGAAGTATTTAACTGCAGTTACTTGAAACTCAGGACATATTGTAACGACAACAAAAGTTGGACAATAGGTTCCACAACAGATTTCTGCCTGAATATTTGTTAATGCATATGTCATCGAAGCCTTTTTCATTTAATAAATGTGGATTTCATTTCAATTCATTTTAGGAGGGCTGACTCCATGGCACAGTGATAATCTGCTGTTGAGAGAACCCAGATCCCAATAGTGCTCATGGGTTGAATGCCATTTGTCATCCCCAAATATGCCCGACACGCATATAAATGGCAGAGTTCTGATGGGCTGGAGGACAAAGGAAGGAGGTCCCACATAGGACTCCTTTCTCCCCCTCCTCTATGATGGATAAATACATTTAAAAAATAAATTCATTGTAGTAAATTGGGTAACTTGAGATACACCTTAAAGATTGCTTGGAGATGTCAACAAGGGATACGATAGGGTCTGGCTCCCCATGATAAAAATATACACAGCCCTGTATTTTTTAAAGTTAGTTAGGCATTGAAATTACTTTTGAGGACAGAGTACTTTTTAATACAGAGTATCTTAAATAAGAACACCATATACTGACAGTCTATAGACAGGACCAAAGTGTCTGTTCTATTATTCTTGTTCTTTAGACCCACACATGGTACTTCAAGAACTTACATAAAAAATATTCTAGCATTTAAGGGAAACAAAAGGAAGAGTGAAACAAAAAAACTGTGAGATACACCAAGATGCAAAAGTTTATTGAAAATTAAAATCACACATCCATAAAGCAATAGCCTCAATAACAAGAAATCGCTGTGGTGACACAGAATAAAGAGTTGGTGATCTGCTCTGGAAAGATTGGGAAAGGAGGAGACTTTTAATGTCATTATGCTGTTTTTTTAAATAGGTTTTTAAAATGGAAAGAAACAGAGGTTCTTTAAACTCTGAGTAAATGTAAAAAGAAAGTCATCTATGATTTCTATCTTTAATTTCTAGACCAGGAGTACTGACTCGAACCTGGGTCTTCCTTGACATTA